TATATTGTACATATATTTATATGCAGCATACTTTTATACAGTATAATTAAATACAGCATACTGTACTACTGTAATACAGTGCATACCGGTATACTGTACTGTACAGTATAAACATAATCCCTATACTAAATCTAATTGGACATTTGCTAATTAAAGCTTTTCAAATTAAATTAAAATAATGACTGCACAAATTATTGTCGATTTTATTTATTTAATTAGTGAACTAAGATTAAGCAAGCAAAAATGAACAAAGCAAATTTAAAATCAAATCCCACTCAAAAATATTTTTAAACATTTTAAACATCCTACATGAAATATTATGATAGATTAAAATTGTACTGGAAAATTTAAAGTATTATAAATGCTAGCTCACAAAATGATATCAATCTCATACAATATATTACATATACCATACACTTGACTCTTAGACAATTTATTATCAAGCAGAAACACTTCATATGATTGGGAAATATCGCAAAAAATCTATTGTTTATATGCTATTAAACATTTATATTTATGAGATGCTGTATTTTATATATTGTACACAAAAAATATTTATATCCATTGTATGTAAAACTTTTAAAGCTAACTTGCAATACATTTTAAAAACATAACTGTCTATGAAGATATTTATATTTACATCTTTATATTTATAAAGTTTATAAAGTTATAGACATAAAGTGACATAACTGTCTATTTATAAAAATATCTATGAATTATACAATAATTTTAAAGAATATTGTAAATGAATAATATTTTTTTATTTTCAAACAATGAATAAAGTAAATGTTTACAATTTAATATAATGCTACTAAACATGTCAATAATGATACACATATTTTCTATTATCACATAAATGATAACATGAATCGCTTATAATGTTTATGCAAAATGATTTCATTTATAGCACTATATTTACACAACATATTCATTGAAGCAATTAATACAAAACTGCATTACAGTATAGAATCTATACTATAGATAATAATAATAATAATAATAATGCATTTTGAATGGCCATTCACAATACGAAAACACATAACAAGTTATTGTTTGCCAATCATAGCTATATTATAAATACATAAATAACTTATACGACTTGCAGTGTAAATATTATTGCAATATTTGTATCAAACACATTTTAACCCTTACAAGTATCAGTAAATATATGATAAAACATTTTTGGTTATACTGTATTAATATAAATCATGGTATTTGATAACTAGTTCAATGTCACCGACAAATTCCTGGTTTATTACATATACTATTCATCAATACATACATGTGTTGCTCATAGCAACCTCATCATCACATCCCTATCCACATCTATACACATCCCGGACTCCAAGTGTTTTCAATGTGTTTTTTCTAGTGGTTTAGTCGAAAAATAAAAATCTTATCATATTTTTTATTATTATCATTATAGACTATACTCATATCACAAATTCAATTTGTTTTCATAGTATGAAATAAATAAATAATACATATTATTCTTTAAGTACAAATCCTAAGTCTATTATACTTTATATAAAGTATTAGTTTTTATACACATTTCTCTTATACTAAACACTAGTCTCTCTCTCTCTCTCTCTCTCTCTCTCTCTCTCTCTAAATATAATTTTCACGAATCGATTAAAATGTAATTCAATGACAAATTATTCGTTGACCCAAATATTTTCGACACTTTATATGTTAATATCAATATAATATATTTTCTTAATCTTATTGAGTAATCTGTCATATAATGTATAAATTTATATAAATAAGTAAATGTTTGTGACATTATTACCACTCAATTATTATAATATTTATTACCGTATATATAAATCAAATATTTATTAGTAAATTTACTTTTTAGATGCATCATGGCAAATATTCCGTATGAAAAGCACAAATAAATAGCAATTCTGTATATTAACGCCTATTTATATACATTGTATATAAAGATCCAAAACTAATTTATTTGAGTACACATTATAAAAATTCCTGTCTTTATCAATAGGGTTAAAATGTGTCACAAATACAGTATATATTTATTTGGATACAAATATCTAATGGAAAAAATCAATTGAAAGTTAAGCGAAAGTCAAAGACTTGATTGCATTAACAATTTCAAGTCTCTCTCTCTCTCTCTCTCTCTCTCTCTCTACTCTCAACACAAATTAAATCTCTTTAAATGCATTAGAATTTAGTGCAAAGAAAATGTGTATCAAAAAGAATATTCTATTGTCAATACAAACACAAAATTTATTGTCCGTTATTGACATCAATAGAGTTATTGGCTTTCAATATAGCAATTAGTCTATTGTAACGGAAATATGATTTTTAATATAAAATACAATTTGTTTGCAATATTTTCGTAGGCCTTGTGCTCAAAATTCTTGATACGATACTAGTACTTTTGAAAAAATACTATAACGATACTAGTATGATACTAGTACAATTCTAGTACTTTTAAAAATACTAGAACGATACTAGTACTTTATAATAATACTAAAAAGATTTGTAAACTTCAGACGTATTGAATATTCTGTATATTGATTCTGTGAACTCTATGTATGATTACAGTGTGATTGACATACAGTGTCACCCATTCATCGGGACAATCATCTGTGCGTTCATCCCATTCATGACAAGCCGGCCCTCTGTCCGGAAGTCGGGGACCAATTGCCAGAATGTCTTTGGCATCCATTTGGGTGTAAATTGAGAGCCAAACGTCTAATTAATTGTCACCTAAATACAGGTTTGATTCATATTATGGATTAAAATATTTTATTCATATATAAGATTTCAATGAAAATTAACTTTAATTGTACCTTTATAAATAAATTAAATACATGAAGAAAAATTCAATTTTTAATGTGAAACATCTACAATTACTGTTTAATTAGTTTACAATAAGTTATCATTAGCGATTCAACTAAGTTAAAAATAATAAACAAATTCATTAAATAATATTTTTAATTATTTGCAAAATTTATTAAATAATCCACATACAGTAATTAAGGAAATCCATTATTTCCTTCAAATAAGTCATAAATCAGATATAAGTTGATCACCAAATGTCTGATCCAAGTATTTCATTTAAATATTGAGCGAAAAACTTGCAATCATTACTTTGAATGAGTTTTAGTGTGGAACCATATGTGGGATCAGTTTTGAAACAATTCCTATCAATAGACCATAAGTTATATTCCGATAATACTTGTGAACACTCGGGTCTGTCTCTATACATCATAACACACATCGAGTCTATGATTTGATCCAATTTAATGAATTTGTCGTATATTTCATATCCCGAGTAAATACTCAATTCAAGGGAACTGTAATTAAGAATTTTAATGCATTTTAATAAATTATGTCAATAAACTAAACTTCAAAATATTTACTTAAAATCATTCAAATTAAATAATTTGTGTGCAATGATTGCCAGGCTATAAACGTCGGCTTTCGGTGTATATTTAGTTTGCAATTTAACTTCCGGTGCCATGTATTGGCGAGTACCCACTCCTATGGTATGACTTCCAGGGGAACTGGAGTGCAATGTCGCCAATCCAAAGTCACCTAACTTTATAAACCTCCCGTTCCTAACCTTTCTTGCAATCAATATATTATCGGGTTTGAGGTCTCTGTGAATGATTTGTGGATTCAATTCATGTAAATATTGAACGCATTCTAAGATCTCTTACATCAAAATTTGTCAAAATGTATTGTAAAATTTTGAATTATTTATAATTGTGTTAATTAATACATTTACAGGTTATGAAAATTTACAGGATTGTATGCACGAAATGTAAAACTCGATTGAATTCATGGATTCTCCCGGTTGTCGACCAAAGACTTGTGGTTTGTTTTGGAGAATATTCTGCAGACTTTGGGAACACAACTCCATACGAATGTAATACATATTGTTTTCATCGTTCCATTGACTTATATATTGTACACAATATTCTGACCTAACTTTTATCAATTTTTTCATTTCTTGCATACAATCCTGTAAATTTTCATAACCTGTAAATGTATTAATTAACACAATTATAAATAATTCAAAATTTTACAATACATTTTGACAAATTTTGATGATTTATAAATAGTGTATATTACATTTAAATATATCTAAAAGACATTACTTTCTAATCTTAGTTTCTTAACCGCGTATAAGTTTCCATCATTATAACAATTTATTTTATTACATATAAATTTAGTTATTTTATGTTGAATGGACTCTAATTTATTATTCTGAGTAATGTTAACAATTAGACATATATTGCAGTATTCAATAATAGGAAGAATATAAACTTTGTATAGTTTTAAAAACACTTGAGGGCTGGCATATGAACACAATTTTTTTAAGTATAGCCCACTTTTTGATAGCTTTATTGTATATATAGTCTATGTGCTCACTAAATGATAATCTATTATCTAATATAAAACCCAAGTATTTGTGCTGTGATTAATTGTTTCCCGTATTAATCAGTTTTACGCTGAAATCATCCCTATTTACAGTATTATACAGTGAATGACAACACTGTACATCAGTTTAATTGTATTATTTGTTGATTAAAACAATAATATATTTGTGTAATAACTGTCGTAAGGGCAGGGATGATGTTTTGTGCACATCTTTAGAAATGAGCTAAAAATCTATTTAAAACTAACTCAAAGAATACATTAAAATATAATTTTATCAAAAAGGGTTTGATTTTATGTGAAATGACAAAAAGCATAGTTTTTCAAGAATATATATAAATTAATATATTAACATTTAGCTTAAATATCAATTAAATCAAAATATACAGTATATCTAAATGATCAGGTAATTATATATTAATAATTTAATCAATTAATCTAAAAAATTTATTATAAAATTACACGAATTAGTTAATATAATTTAATTCATTTTAATTTTTTAATATTCTCTAAATTCCATTCAATTCCTTCGTATTTTGCATTAAAATATTGAATGAAAAACTTGTTGTCATTTCGATGAATGAGTTTTAGTGTGGAATCAAATGTGGGATCATTTTCGAGACAATTCCTATGAATAGACCATAAGTTATATTCCGATAATACTTGACTACATGAGGGTCTGACAGTCAGGTCAAAGGATAACATCCTTTTTAATACTTGTTTTAAATGAACGACACATTTGTTTAGCACTTCATTATCTGATGAATACTTCTTTGAACTACTTCTGAATATAGAAATAATTCATAAATAATATAATCAATACAATCACATAGTGTATGACTGACCCCATTAGGTTCTCCAAATCAAAGCCAAATATCTCTCCTGTAGTTATGGCCAAAGTGTAGACGTCACTCTTGGGTTCATTTGATTCACCCCAACGAAGGTCCGGAGGCTCACGAGTCGGGTTACTTAATGTTGATATAGATTTGCGAATAGTAGCCGACCCAAAGTCAGCCACTTTGAAAAACCTGCCATTCCTTACATTTCTGGCCAGTAATATATTTCCGGAGTGAAGGTCTCTATGAATGACCGGAGGATTCAATTCATGTAAATATTGAACGCATTCTAAGAGCTCTTTGAATATATGACACGAAATGTAAAACTCGATTGAATTCATGGGTTCTTCCGGTTGTCGACCAAATACTTGTGGTTTATGTTCAAGAATATTCTGTAGACTATCGGAACATAACTCCATACAAATGTAATACATATTGTCATCGTACCATTGACTGATATATTGGACACAATATTCGGACTTAACTTTAATTAATTTTTTCATTTCTTGCATACAATCCTGTAAATTTTCATAACCTGTAAATGTATTAATTAACACAATTATAAATAATTCAAAATTTTACGAAACATTTCAGCAAATTTCTGTTGATCTAAAATTATAGTATAAAACATTTTGATGTTCTAATATTTATGCTAAATATATATAAATATAATTTAATTACTTTCATATCTTATTTTCTTAACCGCATATTCTCGTCCATCATATTTCCATTTAATAACAAATACTTCCCCAAAAGCTCCCGAACCTAATGAATGCAACTCTTCGTACAAACGCTTGTAATCACTCACTTCGGAAATAACTATAAAATAAATAAAGTTAATTCATTCATTATGGTTACTACGTCAATCAAAAGGTATATGATCCGACAAAGAAATGGAGATGTAGGGTGTTAATTTAGGGCCTTATTAAAAAGAGTAATTATCCAGTAGGAGTTTACTGTTATATTATTTTTATTTGAATAATTTAAATTTAGTTTAGTTTAGTTATTTGAAGATAAACCTTTATTAATTAAAATTAAATTCAATATTCTAAAATTTAAAAACTATTAAAACAGCAAAACTTATTAGTCAATTCAAAATGTTAATTGTGTTACTGGCTAACTAATCATAACAATTAGAACCAATCAATCGAGATTTGTGCCTCGATATTCCCAACCCAGTGTAGTAAACACAAAACTAACTTCTATCATACCTTTATACACAAAATACCTCTTATCATGCCTGATCTTGAATGTTAATGCCTAACTGTATGTACTTTATGAATGACACTAAAACCCTATTCATACCATTGTTTAATCCAATACCAATCCCTCCGTACTTTGCATTAAAATATTGTGCTAAAAACTTGTAATCATTTCGTTGAACGAGTTTTAGTTTGGAAACAAATGTGGGATCAGTTTTGAGACAATTCCTATGAATATATTCAATTCCTATGAATAAGTTATATTCCGATAATACTTGTGAACACTCGGGTCTATTGCTAAGAATTATAGCAGTCATTGAGTCAATGACTTGATCCAATTTAATGAATTTATCGTATATTTCATATCCCGAGTAAATACTCAATTCCGAGGAACTGCAAACAATTATTTACAACATTTTAGTAAATTATGTCAATAAACTAAAAATCAAAATAATTACTTAGGATCATTCAAATTAAACAATTTGTGTGCAATGATTGCCAGGCTATAAATGTCTGCTTTCGGTGAATAATGAGTTTGCAATCTAACTTCCGGTGCCATGTATTGTAAAGCTTCCACTCCTGTGGTATGATTTCCAAAGGAATTTGAGTGCAGTGATGCCAATCCAAAGTCACCTAACTTTATAAACCTCCCGTTTCTAACCTTCCGGGCAATCAATATATTGTCGGGTTTGAGATCTCTGTGAATTACCGAAGGATTTAATTCATGTAAATATTGAACGCATTCTAAGAGCTCTTTGAATATATGACACGAAATGTAAAACTCGATTGAATTCATGGGTTCTCCCGGTTGTCGACCAAATACTTGTGGTTTATGTTCAAGAATATCCTGTAGACTATCGGAACATAACTCCATGTGTATATCAAATACATTATTATCTATCCCATGATCGATATAATGGACAACATATTCTGAACGAGCTTTGATTAAAAAATGCAATTCTTTATATAAATTATTTGAATCTTGAATTGCTAAAATATATATAAAAATTATTATATTATTTAAATTAATTTCTATCGAATATATAACTACAGTTTGCCTGTATCATTTTAACTGCATACTCTTGTCCATCAGATTTTTTAATAACTCGCTTTACTCTACCAAATGATCCCGAACCAATCTCGCTTATAACTTGGTACAATGCGTTAAATGTTAACAAATTATCATTTGAATCAATGCCGGCTAAATAAATATATAAAAATAGAGAACTGATATTAAATGAAATGTAAAAATAATTTAAAAAATCATATTTGTACAATATTGTACCTGTAATCTTTTGGTTAATAGTATCACACATTTGATGTATAAATTTAATACAATTTTCAGCAAATTCATGTTTTGTATTATAATTATATGCTTCATAATCGCATAAATTAATTGTTTTGTGAGTTATTTGAAATTCCATTTATGGTTTGATCTATAATGACAAACATTTTATGTAAAAATTTATTACAATTCTCTATAAATTCTTGTTTTGTGTTATAATTATATTCTTCATAATCGCATAAATTAATTGTTTTGTGAGTTATTTGAAATTCCAGTGAATAAAAGTCGAAGAAATTATTATAATTAGTTTCGCCCAGGCCAGTTTTCATAAACACCTTGTACACTTTTCCATTTATTATGGCAGCAATATAAGATATCAACTTTTCATATGTAAACACTCGATACAGCTCTTGAAACTCGATACAACTAAACAATAAAATTGGCGTTTTCTGAACCGTATAATCACCTTGCTCATCAATAAATTGGCCACAAAAATAAACTAAACCATCATTCGTTATGAAATATGCCCTGGTACCTGCGCCGGACATACTTCTTACATCAGTCAAATTGTCTATTAACTGTGGCCTTGCTACATTGTCAGTTGTTTGATGACCCAAATTGAAGTATTCATTTACACCCCAACTAAACACCCGCCCATTAGTAGTGATTGCAAACGATGTGAATTGAAAACAATAGACAGCTGTAATTTTATAGTCAGGGTCGAAATTCAATTTAATAGGTTGGACCACGTAATCTGACTGATCACCATTGCCTACCTGTCCAAACGAATTTCTACCCCATCCATAGACACAGCCATCACTCGTGAGCACTAATGAGTGACAATAACCGCAACATATTTGAGACACATTTAAGTTATTTTTTATAAATAATGATATTTTTTTAGGTCTTAAGTAACCCTCAATTGGTGGCCTGGCTAACTGTCCTTCATTATTGCAACCCAAACCATATATGTAGTTGTTTTCATTGATGGCTAACACAAAGTTGGATCCATTGAAGAATTGTGTGATATTCTTGTGACACAATTCCGGTATAAGTTGTGGTGAATTGACAGCCATATTGTGACCCAAAAATTAATGCCTAAACCGTATACTAAATCATCGGTTGTGGCGAACAGTATGTTATGGCCTTTTGGGTCATCAAACACGTGAAATAATTGAATGCATTTAATAATGCTTTTATTAACTGACATTTTTACTGAGTTTTTAATATATTCAACAAAATTAGCAAACAATATAATTATTGTTAACATAAGTTAGTTACTGAAATGTAAAATGTTAAATTAAAACGCACATTAAATTTTAGGCGTAAACGTAACTGTGCAGGTCTATTTATAATTTTTGCAATTAACATATTAATTAATAATTATCGGGGGTATAATTAATAATAATAATTACCTTTTGGGTACCTTCAAACACATAAAATAATTGAATACATTGTTGTGGGCTTTTATTTGTCGTAATTTTTAAACACATATTTTACACACAATTAACAAATGATTGTTATTATATTAGTTTAATTAGTAAATTAATTGTATTAGAAACAATGGCGATTTATTTAATATATTTTTGATAAGAAATGGTTAGTTATAATGATTGATTGTCATGGTATCTTTATCATATTAATAGATAAATTGTGATACAGTAAAGCTCTTCAAATTAATTGAGTACACATTTAAGTTTGAGTTTTGATAATTAAAATATTTTTATTTATCTCATAATATAACACATATTTTATAAATTTTACTCATATGTTACACACAAATAGGTTAAATATTTATGCAGTAATGTTCATAAGTTTTTTGTTGTAAATTAATTGTTATATCCTTATTATAATTGTCCCCTAATATTTTGTATAGAATTTTGCAGTACAGTAATAATGTTTGTAAAAATTGTTTTATTCAAAATAAATTTCTTCGTATTTTACATTAAAATATTGAATGAAAACTTGTAATAATCTTGTTGAATTAGATTTAGTATGGAATCAAATGTGGGATGAGTTTTGAGACAATTCTTATGAATAGACCATTGATAACCAGTTCAGTGTTTATGCCGTTTTTCCTAAGATTGCCAATGTTGCCGGAATTTTTCTTGAGTTTATACTATTACTATCGAAACCACTCAGTGAGTCTTTTTAAGTGTTTGTAAGTCGTATATAAACTAATGAATGCCCTATTTTTATATTAGTAATTGTTAGTCATTTTCATCACTAATCTCTTTTCACAATTTTTGTTCAAAAAATATATTCATCCATAAGATTTGAAATATTAAACATATTAGTGAAGAGATTAGTGATGAAAATGACTAACAATTACTAATATAAAAATAGGGCATTCATTAGTTTATATACGACTTACAAACACTTAAAAAGACTGAAATATTGAGACAATTATGTTGAGTGAGGGCTAACACAAAGTCTTCTCCATTGAAGAATTGTGTGATATTCTTGTGACACAATCTATCGATCACTTGGATTTCATTGACATAAATTTAGTCTTAACCCAAAACATCTCTATTCATTGATCCCGACCCATAGATAATATCATCATTTGTTATAAATAATACATTATATCCTCTCCAGTCGTCAAACACATATAATTGAATTGATTTAAACATTTTTTGGTCACTTTTATGTCTATTTTCGTCGACAAGTGTTTCATTGTGTGAATCATTGGACTCGTGTTCCGTAGGCCTCACATCACTTGTATGTATGGATCGGCTATTACTGGACTCCACTCCTGACATGAAAAGTTAACAAAACATTAAATTACAGTCAAATTTTAAATGAGATTTAACTTTAGATTTACTTAATTTTCAAATAACCGTTAAATGTAATATTTAATTATTTACGAAAATTCATACAAAACAATTTATTATTAATTGTTTATTTTCTCTAAAAATAATTCATACCATTATTTGATAGCAATTTTATAGACGAATATACTTTTTAAAAATAATCCAAACATTTTGCAATAAATTCTTCGAAATTCTTATAGTTATATTGCTTATAATCACACAAATCAATGGATTTTTGAGTCATTTGAAACTCATTTGTGAAAGAGTCGAAGAAATTTGTATAATTTGTTTCAATTATATTATCGTTTGATGTGGATATAATACGATATATTTTGCCATTCAATAAAGCATTAAACTGACATAAGTTATTTTTATGTGAGGAAATTAAATTCATATCTGTAAACCTCTTATCAGTATTTAATACTTTTGGGGATATTTGTAATAAATATTCGTTGTTTCCATTCGTATATTGTCCGCAAAAATAAATGAATCCATCATTTGATAGGAAATATGTGTTACCACCATTTGAACAGATAGTCTTAATACCAGTCATGTCTGCAATGAGTTGTGGTTCACATATATTATCCGATGAATTGTGTCCCAAATTATACCAATTATTTCATTCCATATTTGTAATAAATATTACTTTAATGCAATTAAATTTTGGTATTTATCCAAATATTATTTACTAAATCCTTAACATGATTAGGAAATCCAATTATTTCGATTAAATAAGTGATAAATAAGGTATGAGCT